TATATATATATATATATATATATATGACAAATTAAGAGCTGAATTAACATTGCTTTATATTTTTATATATATATATATATAAAAACAAAAAGTACTGATAAGAATACCGTTAAAGTACCGAATCGATAAGCAGTATCGGTAAGAGTAGTAATACCGTTAAAACCTTAACGATACCCATCCCTAGATATTACCCTGCAAAACAGAAAGATTTGAGCCTAGTATTCTTGCATTACCTGCAGATGAGTCTTTCACTTAGGCTGTCTCTGCCTCTCCGAGCATCTGTCAGCTTCTTATTGGTGTTCAGGATTGTCCACATCTTGGAATTTATACTACAGCAGTCCAAAGGAGTCTCGCCATCCTTATTCTTCAGATTAACATCTGCTCCTCGCGACAGAAACAGCCTAGAAAACAGCCAAAGCTTCAGATTAGTCCTTTTACAAATGACAGTTTCAACCGTAAACCTTTGTCTATTCTCGGATGATAAAAACATTAGATTAATTGAGGGACTCCAAATTGGGGTTCATTAGTGAGGGAACTACAGGAGGTGGATTGTGAATTGGAGGAAAGCTAATACTGAATTAATTGATAAACACTTTTCTTTATCTGATACATTTTATCTATTTGAAAGTTTAGGAATCCATGGATTAATTCAGGATGCCTTATGTAGAACTGCAAATAGTTTAACTGAACTCAATTCAAATTAATAAACTTCACACTGTTATTGGTCTGAACTGAAGCAACACTGAACTGAACTGCCTTAAGATAAATAATAATAACACTATTGTATTTTAGAGATGCTTTACAGCGGAATCTGACTTGAATACCATTTAAAAGGTCTTGCTCCCAGTTAACTAGGTATACTCTTTCTGTTCTACACTTACATTACACAGTCCAGCTGGTTCTGTCTGACAGCAATGTGGAGAGGTGAGTCTCCATGGATGTTCACAGCGTGTAGGTCAGATCTCTTGTCAAGCAGCAGCTGAGCGATCTCATCACAGCCAGAGAACGCTGCCCAGTGGAGGCAGACATTCTCCTCCTAGATAACATATCAGACCACAAGCAAAATTCATCTCTGGATGATCAAATCTAGTGTTCCAAAGTTTGGGGTTGATAAGATTAGTATCACATGATCCTTCAGAAATCATTCTAATATGCTGATTTGGTGCTCAAGAAAAAAATTATTTTTATTATCAATGTTGAAAAGAGCTTTTTCAGGATTCTTTGATGAATAGAAAGTTCAGAGAACAGCATTTATTTGACAAATATTTTTTGTAACAATGTAAATGTATTTACTGTCACTTGATCAATTTAATGCCTTCTTGCCGAATTCAAGAATGTATTAATCTTTTGAATGGTAGTGTACATGCTCCGCCAGAAATCTATTAACTGCAGGCAATGCGTTTGCTCAGTCTGATTTCAAAGATCATCAAACAAGGTGAAAGAAGTGCATCAAAAAGCTGAAAAATTTAGATGAAATACTCTGTCACAGACCTTATCTCTTATTTGGACATCAGCTCCCACTGAGATCAGCATCTTCACCTGCTCTAGATTCATGTTCTCAGTTGCCCAGGTAAGAGGAGCCCACCCACCATCATCCTGACCAGAACAAACCCATAAACTCAATTCAATTATTATAATCCCTTTAATAACAGCACCTAAGCACTCCAGCATCCATAAAGCATCTAAGAATGGGTAGTTTTGCTGTCAAGTACTGCTTATAACATCCTTAAAAAAAGCCATTTAAGGGTAAATAAATATGGCATGTACAGAAAAATATATATTCTACAAACTCGTGCACAGTGTTACCTTACAGTTGACGTCTATGGATGGCATGGAGACAAGATACTGCAGCACACCTGTGTGTCCTCCTCTGGCTGCCAAGTGAAGACATGTAGAGCCTCTCATATCCTGTGAAGTGAAGGCATAAATTACTAGAGTTTAAGCATGCAAATACCTTGCACACTGAACACGTGGCATACATTGGCTTAGGGACTTCAATTCCTCATTAACTCAATGGGTAGCATAAGATAACTGTAGCAAAACATTTTGTATTTCACAGCTGACACACAGAAAAGGCTGGCTATCATACCTTATGCCCAGTAGAAGCACCAGCTTTCAGCAAGTATTTCACTGTTTCTAGATGATTGTTCTCACAGGCATAAATCAGAGGAGTTCTCTGCTCCGCATCACACATGTCCAGGTTCGCACCAGCCTATAGTGAGATAAAGAGATCCTTTATATTCTTAAATTTTGCATTCATTATATCGGATGAGCATATTATATTGGATGTAATCATGGAAAATGGAATATTAAAAAAATAATAAAAGATAAAAATTAAAAGATAAAAAAATCAAATAAAATAATAAAAGAAACTAAATAATTTAAGTTCATACCCATGTTATACAAAGTAATGGCATCAGGTCCTATTACAACTAGGACCTGAAAAAATTTTCTTGACCACCAAATTAGCTAATTAGAAGAAAAATGTGACACTAAAGACTGAAGTAATTCAACTTTGCCATCACAGGAATAAATTACATTTTGAAACATTAATTTAAAAAAAATTTAAATAGTAATAATATGCATCAATATCTGTTTTTACTGTATTTTAATAAAATAAAAAAAACAGTATGCTGAGCATAAGAGACATTTTCAGTAACAAAAAACTTACAGACCCTAAACTTTTGAATGGTAGTGTATACTTTGAAACACAGATCATTTTTGAATGTGAATGTGTGTTACTAGCATAAGCAGTACCTGCACTAGTATATGGCAGATCTCTTTATGTCCCTCCTCAGCAGCACAATGCAAGGGAGTCTTCCTCTTCTCACTGTCCATCCGCAAGTTTGGGTCCACACCTTCCACTGATTACCATCAAAACAATCACAGTTATCAATCATAAAGCTTGATATAAGACTGATTAAGATTATTTTAGACTTATTTAAGATTTTTTTGAGAAAGGTCATACCCAGCATATGCAGGATCCTCTGGAGCTCTCCTCTCTTAGCAGAGAAATAAAGCTGCTTTGGGGGCAGCTTGAATTTCTTATACCTTTAAAAATATTCAATACTTATTTTAAGCAAAGAAAGCAAATCTACAACTGGTGAACAGTCAAATAAACTAATGAATTTAATTAATGATACAAGATCAGAATATCACTGATGTACAGGACTAAGATAGGACTGATGCAGACACAGATCCTTACTTCCCATCCTCGAGTGCATTTAAAACGCTTTCCAGTGATTCTTTAGCAGGGTCTATTGCTCCCCCAACAGTTACAGAGTCTACTTTAGCCCTGCTGTGAGACAAAATCACAACGGATATATAACAACATAACCAGGGTGCGCAAACACATCACAACATCACAAAATTATATGTGAACAGGTAGAGATAAACATTTTCAAACACAGGATGACCTAAACTTACTCCATTAAGGCGGTGTCTCTTTTGTGCGCTGGCACAGCAGCTGTTGGCACTGCAATAACACAGTCAGGTTTGGGGATCGTGACCTCCTTAGCATGACTAGCCTCCTCGCCGCAGTGGGGGCAGTAGACCTGACCTCTGATCAGAGAGGCACAGCTCCGGTGAAAGCGGTGAGAGATGTTCCCATCTGGCTGACATTCCATAAACGTCCCCTGGATTAGACACACCGCTATAATATTAGTTTTGTAATTTCAATGTATCAGGGTTTAAACTCCATAGTTGAACTATTAAAGATGCAACTTTTTGTCAGCACTTAAAAAATGTTTAAAGTAGTGGTTGATCAGCTTCGTTTTTTTAAAAAAATTCATTATTTTCACATATTTTACTAGGGATGCACGATATTATCGGAATCGGCCGATAATGGCTTTAAATATAAATATCGGCATCGGCCCTATATGAAAAATTATGACGATATGTCTTGCCCATAAGAGGAATACATTACCTCACATGTGCTCAGGGTGTGCTAGCAATCAGATCAGGTCAGCATTGTGGCTCATTCTTGAAGCAATGTTTTGCCTGAATGGTGATTGGATTCACTGTTTTGGATCGCTGCATTTAATCTGTGAATGCACGTACAGAATGAAGCATTCGTGTGTGATAGAGTAAACAGTAATAGCACGTGCAGCGGCGGCAGTGATTAATATATAGTTTATTTATAGTTATTTTCAAATCTTCAATGTACTGTAATTATAAAAGAACTTTATTATTGTTCATTTAATTCTAACAAATAAGTTCTTTTTAAAAACTAACCAAAATTAAAAATAATTATATATCGGTATCGGCATCGGCTATCGGCCAAAATGAGTTGAAAATTATCAGCATATCGGATTTCGGCAAAAATCCAATACCGTGCATCCCTATATTTTACCTTTATTCTACACCACTGTTTCCGTTCTTGTCAAAACGGTCTGTTGAGTTCCTATGAAATACACAATGGGCTCAGATTGGTTAGCTGGCCCAGTGTGTTGTGATTTGCTAACCGCCTAGTGCACATTGTCCGGAAAAGTCACGCCCCCCAACTACCCACTATGGGTAGTTGCATGTTCCTGGGGGCAGGGTTTATGTAAACATCAGGGTTAGTGAAGTCACAAACCCAGGAAGAAGCTCGTTGTAGTCCCTACGAGCCTTTTTTGTAGTCCTTAAACAGCAATTTCTTAAAAAGAAAATATCTCCCTTTGCATTGAACTTTGAGCGTTGTAACTTTGCAGATGTTGTTTATGGTCTAACAGCAACATTACACAGTAAAAATGTTAAATCAATCAACCACCGCTTTAAAATCAAGCACACTCACATGAGACCTAAGAATATCTGTTTAATTCTACATGGACCTCACAAAACGCTTATTAATAATGACTGACTGCTAATAGCTGGTAAAATCTGATAATAGCACATTTCTACAATGGCATCCCAAGGCCAACTCAAAAACTTTGTCCCTAATGTATTTGTTTGTTAGAATAAAAATTAATTATTTATGAGTGTGTATACATTCTTATTTTTGCGATACTTCTCAAAAAAAACAAAACAAAAAAACACTTCAAACACCACCACCAAAAGTTGTTGTTTTTGAGTAATGGCTGCAATCACAGTAATATAAATAAAAATGTAAAATATATTTAAATAAAAAACTGTTATTTTAAATTGTAATAATACTTCACAATATTACTGTTTAACTGTATTTTTGATCAAATAAATGCACACTTTCAAAAACATTAAAAAATCTTACCGACCCCAAACTTTTAAATGCTAGTGTATGTTTTACTTACAGCCCTGCAGAAGAAGCCACAGCCCGGGCAGCTCTGGTGTTTCACCATGCCCGCACGATGATCCTCACACAACACCAGCAATGGAATCCTCAGAGAGGGACGCATCATTTCCTGCTTCAGAATCACCTTCCGACATAAACTCAGCTAGAGAGAGAGAAAAATATTCTTTAATACCCACTTTCTTCAAACTGATTCACCATTCACTCATCACACATCAAAAGCATACACTACAGTTATTGTGTGAATGTAACTGTACTTAGCACCCAAAAAATGACTGTTGCAGTGGTGTGAATGTATTAATGATTTAATTTTGTTATCCTTTCACAGACAGATGTTTTGAAACATGAAGCATGTTTTACCTTTCCATCAACACTCTCTACAGCCATGCACTTGCCCTCAGCAAGAGTTACTACATCCTGGTTCTTCGGTGCCTCCATGCGACAGCTGCACAGTGGAGGTTCCAGCGAGTCATCAGCCTCCATGTCTGAAGACTGGATTAATGATGCTGGAAATTCAGCTTTGCCTTCACAGAAATAAATTACATTTTAAAAATATATAAAAATAGGAAACATGAAAAACATTATTTTCATGAAATAAATGTAGCCTTGGTGAACATAAAAAAAATATTATAAAACTATTTTAAAAAAACTATATAAAAAAAACATTTGAAAAATCTTTCTGACCCAAAATTTCTGAACGGTAGAGCATATGTAAGATAATGTGTATAAATGTCTGTTAGTCCCCCCCACAATTTTGGGTGACAATAAATAAATACCCATAACTAATTACTATGAACTAGAAAGTACATAAGCAAACAGCAGGCTACCTTCAGAGCAGATGGAGCTGGTGCGGGTCTAACTATGGTTTTCCAAGCCAAACGTGGTGGAGCAGGATTCACAGCTTTAAACTCCTCCGGCCCTCTCTGGGCATCCCCTTCCTGTCTGGCTGCAGGTAAGGACAAAGTGGTGATGCTCTTGGCAGCATTACCAGACTCAGAACTCTGTGTTTCTGGAGCATCTTGTTCATCTTCGTGGATAGAGCCATGGTTTCCTGAGATGATGTTTTCAGCTGGTAGCTTGAGGGATGTCTGGCCAGAGAGTAGCTGAAAGCCAGTCCCTGTGCTCTTCGTGCTGCCTAGAGCACTCTGTTGTTTACCAACTTTTGGAGCAGCACCAAGGGATTTGGGCTTCCTGCCTCTTCTTGGAGGGTCCGCAGGGCTGTCCATACCTACAAGCACAGCATGATAAAATATGAAAAATCTAAGGTATGTAAACAATGTGCATTTCACACTTGATACGGGAATCAAATCTGAAAAAGAAGAATACCAGATGCTTTTTTGATATGGGATGCATTAACTGACCTGAACTTGCAGTGACTGGAATGCCATTATGAATAACCTTGAAATCAACGAACTCACCTTTCTTGGACTTGGCCATGGCAGGGGGAACCTGGAGCAATCCAAGAAGACCTCCAAGTTCCTTCCTCTGTGAGAATTTACAGTGTTATAATTTGAAATAGAACAATAATTGGTCTGATCAATATTTGCATGTTTTATAATCATCAGTTATTTAGTATAAAAACAAAAGTGTGAGACCAATTAATATATAAACAATGATATATAGTCATAATGCAAATTGTATGGTTGGAGCCTAATGGTTATATTTATTATTATTTTGTAAAATGACAGAAATAAAGCAATTAAATCTATTCAAGATATTATCCGTTTTTTTATGTGTATTTATTGGTATTGATGGGTGCAAAATAATGTATATATCGAGTTCTGAAGTGCTGCGTTTCAAAATCTAGTAAGCTGTCTACTTAAAACATTTTGGCCATCAAATGCTGTCTGATTGGGCATCAGCATCACACTAGATTTTGAGACACGGCCAACAAATCGCTCTTCGGCTCTGCAAAACGCTAAAGCGTTACTTTCTTTGCATTGCTGAAAAAGCATGATAGCCTATTAGGCTTGTGATTTCCTGTGTCTCATTAACTGAGGGTATATAACAACATTTGTTAATGTTTATTTTATGTCAGACGCAGCGCGCTCATTGTGGGCGGAATTACAATGAACAACATGAAACAATGTACAGTAGCTAACAGACGCGCATGACACCAGCCACAACAAATCTACACGAAGCATGTATCTATAAACTACATTCGGCGTGGGACATTTATCCACAAAAACGACTGCTTTGCACATACTTACCCGTTAACTTATGATGGTTTGCATTTTTGTAAAATAACTCCGTTCAATTCCAAAAGTTTAGAGGCTTGTCTTCCTCTCTTCACTTCCCTGCTGCATGCGCCCTGCGACTGTCATGTGACCACACCGCGCCCTCTAATGGTAAGGGAGAGTTTACTTTAACACTCTGGTGTTGTTTAGAAATTTTTAAAGTCACTACTTCATCGGAATGATATGAAACTCGATTACTTTTATGCAAGTTGCTAAAAAAAATAGTCACACTTGTGTTGTTCGCGGTCTAAAATGACCGCCATTGGAAATGAATGGGAAATACGCAAAAATGCAGAGAATTTTTGTGTGTACAATCTACAAATCATTCACGATGCAGAAACAAAGTGCACAGCAATGAAGGGGTGACACTCTTAAAATATCAAGAGTGCAAAACAGACGCATTCCACCCACCCCAGACATACAGATATGAACTAGTGTGTGACTGTAACACAAAGCACGTTTTTGCAAATGCGTGAAATAAAATAAATAATTTAGCCACAATGCAGTAAAAACAGACACCAAGCAAAGGGGTGACACTCTAAAACTTAAAGAGTACAAAAAAGACACACACACACACACACAATACACTATTATACACACAAATGAACTGGTGTGGCTGTAACAATATGGGAAAATTGAGCCAGAAGACTCAAATAAGAGGTTGAAATCAGATTGCTTAACCTCTGATAAAGTATTCCTGTTCATTTAGGTTACATTTTTGCTGAACTTTGATGTTGTGTAATAAAATGTCTTTCTTTGTGTTCATGTTTGACTCTAGTAAAATTAATGCAAAAACTGACATTTCAAACCAACATTACACACACACACATCTAAACCTTTACAAAAAGTTGTCTTTGTGAATGTCTTAATATAAAACCAAATCCACAACAAACAAACAAAAACATTTACATCTAAAAACAACTAGAGAATGTACAAGCCTTTTATATAGAGCTATACAGTATAGGAATCTAGTGGCTAAACCATGGAATTGCATACGTTTTTTTTTTTACTCCCACCAGATGGAACTAATCTGCCTTCAAAAATGGGATTTTAAAGGCATTGTCTCTATTTTAACATGAAATACTGCCATAATTGAAAAGTAATAGAAAAATATTAGAATTGCAAATGCGTGAAATAAAATAAATAATTTAGCCACAATGCAGTAAAAACAGACACCAAGCAAAGGGGTGACACTCTAAAACTTAAAGAGTACAAAAAAGACACACACACACACACACAATACACTATTATACACACAAATGAACTGGTGTGGCTGTAACAATATGGGAAAATTGAGCCAGAAGACTCAAATAAGAGGTTGAAATCAGATTGCTTAACCTCTGATAAAGTATTCCTGTTCATTTAGGTTACATTTTTGCTGAACTTTGATGTTGTGTAATAAAATGTCTTTCTTTGTGTTCATGTTTGACTCAAGTAAAATGCAAAAACTGACATTTCAAACCAACATTACACACACACACATCTAAACCTTTACAAAAAGTTGTCTTTGTGAATGTCTTAATATAAAACCAAATCCACAACAAACAAACAAAAACATTTACATCTAAAAACAACTAGAGAATGTACAAGCCTTTTATATAGAGCTATACAGTATAGGAATCTAGTGGCTAAACCATGGAATTGCATACGTTTTTTTTTTTACTCCCACCAGATGGAACTAATCTGCCTTCAAAAATGGGATTTTAAAGGCATTGTCTCTATTTTAACATGAAATACTGCCATAATTGAAAAGTAATAGAAAAATATTAGAAAAAAATTGTATTATTTTCAATGGGGAAAAAAAGTATCATAATTATTGCATAAATATTAATTAGTACCATGAAATTCTCTCAAAATACAAAAGAAAAAATATTATTGAACAAAAATGTATAAAACCTGAAAATAAAAAAAGGTTAAATTTCAGGTGTCCGGTCACTTTTGACCACGAACAACACAAGTGTGACTCCCAAATGAACAGAGGGTTAAGTCTGGGTTTGGTTGCTAAGTAAAGTGTGTAGACCTCAGGCCCACAAAGACTGCGAAACAAAAGTCCCACATCAAAAGATGTCTAATGAATTCTTGTGGCTAGTACAAAATTCACTTAACTAATTTCAGTCTACATATTACAAGATGCATGTTTCAATGGCTAACAACATTTTAGTAAGAAAAGACATTAGCCTAAATGAGGAGGTCACTACAGGTGCATCTCAATAAATTAGAATGTCGTGGAAAAGTTCATTTGTTTCAGTAATTCAACTCAAATTGTGAAACTTGTGTATTAAATAAATTCAATGCACACAGACTGAAGTAGTTTAAGTCTTTGGTTCTTTTAATTGTGATGATTTTGTCTCACATTTAACAAAACCCCACCAATTCACTATCTCAACAAATTAGAATACTTCATAAGACAATAAAAAAAACATTTTTGGTGAATTGTTGGCCTTCTGGAAAGTATGTCCTATTTATGTCTAAAAACAATTAGAGAATGTATAGGCCTTTTATATAGAGCTATATGGGCATCTATGGGCTAAAACATGGAATTGCAGATGTTTTTCTTATTTTACTCCCACCAGTTGGCACTAATCCATCTAAAAAAAAGGATTTTAAAGGCATTGTCTCTATTTTAACATGAAATACTGCCATAATTGAAAAGTAATAGAAAAATATTAGAATTTTTTTTTATTATTTTCAATGGGGGAAAAAAGTATCATAATTATTGCATAAATATTAATTAGTACCATGAAATTCTCTCAAAATACAAAAGAAAAAATATTATTGAACAAAAATGTATAAAACCTGAAAATAAAAAAAGGTTAAATTTCAGGTGTCCGGTCACTTTTGACCACGAACAACACAAGTGTGACTCCCAAATGAACAGAGGGTTAAGTCTGGGTTTGGTTGCTAAGTAAAGTGTGTAGACCTCAGGCCCACAAAGACTGCGAAACAAAAGTCCCACATCAAAAGATGTCTAATGAATTCTTGTGGCTAGTACAAAATTCACTTAACTAATTTCAGTCTACATATTACAAGATGCATGTTTCAATGGCTAACAACATTTTAGTAAGAAAAGACATTAGCCTAAATGAGGAGGTCACTACAGGTGCATCTCAATAAATTAGAATGTCGTGGAAAAGTTCATTTGTTTCAGTAATTCAACTCAAATTGTGAAACTTGTGTATTAAATAAATTCAATGCACACAGACTGAAGTAGTTTAAGTCTTTGGTTCTTTTAATTGTGATGATTTTGGCTCACATTTAACAAAAACCCACCAACTCACTATCTCAACAAATTAGAATACTCCATAAGACCAATAAAAAAAACATTTTTAGTGAATTATTGGCCTTCTGGAAAGTATGTTCATTTACTCAATACTTGGTAGGGGCTCCTCTTGCTTTAATTACTGCCTCAATTCGCCGTGGCATGGAGGTGATCAGTTTGTGGCACTACTGAGGTGGTATGGAAGCCCAGGTTTCTTTGACAGTGGCCTTCAGCTCATCTGCATATTTTGGTCTCTTGTTTCTCATTTTCCTCTTGACAATACCCCATAGATTCTCTATGCGGTTCAGGTCTGGTGAGTTTGCTGGCCCGACATTCTAATTTATTGAGATGCACCTGTATATGCCATTCAAACACTTTTTGTTTTTTACCTTCTTTGTACAAAACATAAGCGTAAGCATCACGTATATCACATGTATATCACAATAAAATTAAATAAGACATTATCGGGGAATTTCAACACATTGAGCCCCAAAGAATAACTGTACCTACAGAAATTCCTTTGAAATTGCTGACCACCCTGAAAGTCATTATATAATTTGCAGTCTTAGTTGCACATTTTCCAATATGCAGCAACTGGCACTTAAAGGTTAAACTCTATAATTTCTCCTTTCACACTTGCTACATTATGGTACACATACAGCTTGAGTTAAGGCCACTATTGATGCTTTTAAGCAAGCTCTACCGTCCAGTTGCTTTAATGGATCTTCGCCCAAGGTAGGTGAAGATCTTCGCCAAACAAGTAAGAAATACTGTAAATAGATCAAAGATCCATATCAAAGTCACAAGCAATGCCAATGATTAATTTCCATTCTGTTTAACAGTACAAAATGCAAGATGTTTTTCAGTTTAAAAATTTTATTAATCTGTACACTAAATATAAATGTAAATCACTGTTCAAATACAAAACAAACAAAAAACAACGTTTTTAATATGCAAGTAGTGTGCAATACTAACAAAGGCAGAAATTAATCATTAAAGTGAGAAACTAATTATTAAATACCACAAAACTATATATTCAGCAGTCTTGTATAATGACTTGAGGATATGTGCATATAAAATTACAATTTAAATCAAACTGGATTCTTCCTTAGTTTATCAGGAACATAAAAACAAAGCATACACATGCTAAAAAAATTGACCCTGGGGGTTGAGTGATTGCAAGCACAAATGTACAAAACAAGGGATAGTCTAGTAAAAGATTACTTAATACTCTTCCTAAAAATAAAACTCCTGATAAAACTCCTAAAAACAAGTGGTAAAATAGCCTTGCAAGAGGCAGATCTATTTTACAGATCATCTGCAAAGACGAAAATGAAAAGCATTTTCCAACTGTTTGGCATAATAGCTGCCAAACCAAATCTGAAGTTTTGAATCAGCTGACCTCTTAGGTTAAATAGGTTAAACAAAAACATTCTTGAGAGCACAGACCTCGTAAGAATACAGAATTTGTATAATTACACATTTGGTTCAAAAGTGCTTGAGGTCTGCATTTATTATAAAGTCACAGGAGTGTTATGAATAGTTTCAGTGTTTTTCTCCCTTCTTCATATGGTTGGGAAACATCCTATATATTGCAACTATCTTCATAAGAAGGTGGAGTCTCTGTCAAAAGAAATAAAATCAAATTAATCACCATGTAACACTTCCTTACCTAAAGTACAATCAATTAAATATAATAGTAATATTAACTTAAAGGAGTATTATGCTTTTCACTTTTTCAACTTTAGTTAGTCTGTAATGTTGCTGTTTGAGCATAAAAAAGATCTGCAAAGTTACAAAGTTCAAAGTCCACTTCAAAAGGAGATATTT